AATTTGAGAGTGGTCCACATGCAGTACCTATATATGTAATATCAAAGCAATTGGACTTGCGGTTTTTAACAAGAAGTCGAAAATATCATTTTTTATCAAAAATGATATTCACCAAAATTATAGAATTAAAGATATCATTACAAAATGAACAAATCTGAGAGAGGTCCACATGTAGTACCTATATATGTAATATCAAAGCAATTGGACTTGCTGTTTTAACAAGAAGTCGAAAATATCACTTTTTACCAAAAATATTCACCAAACTGAGAGGATTGAAGATATGATCATGAAATGAACAAATCTGAGAGAGGTCTATCCAAGGTACATATACACCAAGTATCAAAGCATTCAGGCTTGTAGTTTTCAAGAAGTCGGAAAAGTAAAATATTGACACGAACGACAGACAATCACTCAATATGATAAGCTCCGCTCGACAAAGTAGACAGTGGAGCTAAAAATTCTAGAAAGCAAAAATGAAAACACACTGATCAAACTTGGTAAATTCATTTATCAGTGCTTTAACTTGAGAGAGAAAACATGACGCTTACCACACCAGCTGCCTCATAATATTTACATTATACATATTTATTTCTGATACTAGTAGTGATTTTAATTGTTTTTCTATTATTTAGCTATTTTAGTAATTACTGTATTTTACTTTATCTGATCATTCATTTTTAATTATTTATGTTTTTTCTAAAACATATTTACTTTATTGTAATCCATTTACCGGATTCGGCTGATACCCCGCCCTGGGCGACCTTATGGAGGATTCGATTTTTTTTAGAAAAATGTGGACCGATCTTTTGGCAGATATTACGAGGCCCATCTTGTCTGAAAAAATAACCCTGCGTTGATAGAAATGGTCTAGAAATAATAATGTTTCGCGTTGACCAAATATAATCATGCAAAGTATAAATTCAAAGTGTTTTAATACGTTGGTGAGAGGTCGCATTTTACGTGAACAAGAACATGCACTAAGAAGGAAAAGCCAGTCAAAGTCGAAACGGGGTGCATCATGGACATGACGCAACACACGCTGCGACAACTGAGTGATTAGCGACATAATTGTGGGACGCAATTGAACTTCCTTGCGAAACTTGCTGTGCGGTGATCAAGTGTGTGTTGACCGAAGTTTGACCCCAAGTCACGCGCTGAACTGGTGCGTTACCTTAGCAATCTTTTTCATTTGCGGTCCGCGCGTCGATCTAGTAAAATTTTTATTATATCCGACGATACTGTAATTACGCAACTTGTATGCAACTCTGTACTGGCTTTGAATATATCAACGTCGTTTACTTAGTGCACTGCTTTTCTAATTACGCAAATTTGTTTACAATATTGTACCAGCTCTGAATATTTCAACTTTGTATTAAATGTATTGCTTTCATGATAATTACGCAAACTCAAGTTAATTTTTACTATTGTTAGGGCACTGACCCGGGGTATTGGGTCTGTGAATATTTCAATATTACCGACTTGATAATGCGTTGCATTCGTAATAATTACGCAAACATAAACATTGGCGCATTTAAATCATTAGAAATGATAGTAGTCGGGTATCTACGGAAAGTCGAGAAAATATTTTAAATACTTGTGATTCACCAATGTTCCAATAGTGATTTTTTTATTCGAAATGAAGTGAACATGTAATATAA